AAAAGTTGAATATAAGTAAACTTTTAATTAAAACAATGGCTGTAAAACGACGATGATGTTTAAGTGACCATATGTTGAAATTTACGTGGTTATCATAGACTAAACGTATTCATAGTCAAAAGGAAACTAAAAGATAAAAGCTTACCACTTTCGTCGAATGTCATTGCATATAATAGTAGCAATAGTAATAAAATAAATGTTATCACCTCTTTCTAAGAATTCTATAGGGACCTCTTTCTGTGTGTGAGAGAGATCTACATCTACATTGTACGTCGGCGCAATCACACTTGATTATGACGCGACGGGTGGTGCTAGGTCAAGAAAAAGAAATATACAAGAAATGATAGAAAGTAAGAAGAGGTTGGATATAAAGTGAAATCTTCATAATAAAAAGACTGACAATGAAGGAGTGTGCACATGTTGCTTGGTATGCAGTAATAGTGACTTCAAATAGTAAAGTATATATAGAATAGTTCTATTAAAGCTGCTCACAGGGACGGAGGAATTGATAAAGAAGCATTAAAGCTACATGCCTCCAGATGAGTCAAAATATTTCAATAAATTCAAATTTGAGGAAAATGATCGAAGATGTAAGCAAAAGTAAAAAAGTTTCAAGATTAAAGTAATAGTTAACATATTATGTGCGATTTATGACTGATTTTTCAGTATTTACAACTATATTTCTACTGCGTTACTAACGCAGTAAAGGCTATTTATGCATATTTTGACCACTTTTTTGGTAATTAACGTGGTTTGTAAGTGCCATTGATAATGTGTAAACTGCTTCCTTTTGGTTACTTCACAATATTACACATTCAAATACATTTTCAAAATTTTCATGAAAATTAGCATGTATCTGGAGGCGTGCTGCTTTAATATAGAGTATTACTTAAAACGTCATTTCTCGTAATATCACGGAGATATTTTACAATTAAATGTCAATGAAAGGCCCTGGTAATATATACATGAATATTATTATTTATAATATGAGCAGTGGTCATCAAATATATAAAATAATCTCATGATATGTATAATATACATCTCAATAAAAGTTAAAAATTGTTAACATGAAGAGAATTTTCTACTTAGATGCGGGGATAAATGGGTTTACGTCATAGGCATTAGTGAAAAGGTTAAGTCCACTTTCAAATATCGATCAGCCACGGATAAATTGACAATCGTATCATGCCCTTTTACTCAAAAACAAGCACATCTCCTTAAGAATTTAAGACATGGAATTTGTCATTAGTAATCCATTTCAAATGATTATTTTATTGCATGTAATCGGAACGCGTCGGCGTTTATAGAGTTTATTTAAAGAAAGTATAGCCCGTGATATAGACGATGTTAATGGTAATAAACCTCCGAGTATTCTCCGATACTGTGGACAATTCTAATCACAATGGAAGAAACAGCGAAACTGATTGCGACATCGGCACGTATAATCTATTTTAAGACCAGCTCAAGTATTTATGATTGGTTTACGGAAATTGTCCTAACAGTAAATGTAATTAGTTAATTTCTCTTCAATAATCACATGCGGCTTTATGGATAAAATCATGCGGTTTTATGGACAAACTCATGCGGTTTTATGGAGTAGAGCCAAGCAACCTGTCGTCAAGTTCTTCTTAACCTTTTTATATTCATGGCAAGATACGCGGAAATGGAATCATTAGAGAATTCTCGTACATGCATGAAAGAAATGTCATTGTAAGTGTTCCATTTATTGCCTTCATTTTCACGTTAGATTATGTAAAAGGTCATTTTGTGTTCTGGTTTTTAATTTTTATCACGTATGGTCTCCGTAAAGACTTATTTTGTCTTAATTAGCTAACTGCACGACAGGTTGTTTTTTTCTGCGTAATATATGCAAGATTGTTTCCACCATGGCTTCGGGCTATTCGCCATCCTTTTTCCGTTATTGACCGGGCAGTAAATCCATGCCATATATTTATGATAAATTATTATAGCTCATTCATTCATTCGTTCGTTCGTTCGTTCGTTCGTTCGTTCGTTCGTTCGTTCGTTCGTTCGTTCGTTCGTTCGTTCATTCATTCATTCATTCATTCATTCATTCATTCATTCATTTCTTCATTCATTCATTCATTCATTCATTACAAAGAAGTGAAGATATGATACTTATTAGAAATGATTACTTGTTAAAATGAAATTATTACGAATAAAACGACCTACCTCCCAATTAAGTGAATGTAAGCACATTTGTTAATATAATAAAACACTCATAGGTTAGCCAGCAGCGTTTGAATAATGTTAACCACGGCCAAATATATATTTCAAGACATATATTTTATTCAAACTCGTTACTGGAAGTCGATACTTGAGACAACAACGGCAGAGCTGTAAGTACCACCGACTATGGTAAAAGTTATATGAGCCGCGTCACGACAAAACCAACATAATGGGTTTGCGACCAGCATGGATCCAGACCAGCCTGCGCATCCGCGCAGTCTGATCAGGATCCATGCTGTTCGCTATTAGTTTCTTTACTTGTTATAAGGTTTGTAAGCGAACAGCATGGATCCTGATCAGACTGCGCGGATGCGCAGGCTGCTCTGGATCCATGCTGGTTGCAAACCCATTATGTTGGTTTTGTCGTGACGCGGCACATATGTCGTACTTCAAGCATTATTGGGGGATGATGATTGGTTATATCCTTCAAAAATGAATAGCATCAGAGACGTTAATCACTCGGCCAAGGACACCGCTCCTCCAGTATAAAACTGCCGAAAACTCATTCGGTACACCTTGTTGATTACCGGTATTCACAATCATCTTAAAGACAAGTTTGCTTCTGTAAGGACATTCGAGAGGTCTTTTTGCAGCTTTTGGAAGATTTGTTTGTAATTCGAAAATATTAAGGGATATGTTTGCATGAAAGGCACACTGAATATTTTTGAATTACAATTATTTAACAAAAATGGAATTTATTATATACATATATATTGAATATAGTGTCTTAATGAAAATTTGTTTTACAATTAATTTTTAAAAAAATGTGTTGAAAGAAAATATGTCGGAGAAATGGCGCATTAGGGATATTTTGTCTACAAAGGGAACAATTTATGTTTAAATATCAAACTAAATATAAAATAAATGATATATATTAAAAGTACTTTAAAAAAATGTTTCTTGCAAATTCAATAATCAAATTTTCGATGAATGTTTTTGAAGTATATGGAAACATTTCTTCTGCAACAGAGATTTTCTAAAACGGGCATCAAACAATTTATGTCCAAGATTTACATAAAAATGTTTATATCATTTGATTGGAATAAACTGTATAAAAGGCTGCAAGCTTCCAACCACAATATTTCAAGAAAATCAAACTTGAGAAAAATCTGCGCCATTTGCGCCAAAAAATCTCCGATGTGTTATTTAGTCATATCTACCGTTTCAAAAGTTAAAGGAGCAGCAAAATTTCGCTACACGGTTCACACAGTCATATAATAATGCAGTGCATGGTAATATTGTAGCTATAATGTTCACTGTTACTAGTTTTCGGAACATGAAATAGAAAACAATAATCGATTTATACAGTTTAAAGAATTAAATACGGAATGAACCATTGCTCGTAGTGAATGATATTTTCTGATTTTTCCTTGTACCGATTTGTTCACTTCGATATTAATGCATAAGAGCTTCAATTTGACGCAAAAATGGATGCCACCAGCAATCATTCTCAACACTGTGGAGAGGTTTGATGACCTCTCGAATAATACTGTATTATACGGATTGAAAGTATGTTTACCACGTGACTTTTGATATAAACAGAGGGGGTTGGAAGGTGGGGGAAAGGGACAATCTTTCTATAATGAGTAAGGCATGTATTTATTTGACAGCCATTAAAAAATTTGGGTTCTTTTACTTTTACCCATAAAAGTACCTAAAATAGCTTAACCAATTCAAATGTGTTTGCTTTTATGCAGCCCCAACTAATACCTATGCAAAAATGTAGCCAATGACGATTCTTGATGAATATTTCACAAAAAAAAAACACACAAAAAACTTAAACAGCCTGGTATGAGGAAAATCTGATTTTAGTGGGGCTTTTTTTTGCACATTTTATCACCAAAAAAGTATGAGCAACCGCATGTGCCAATTTATCACTTGGCATGTGTGTTCAATAAATAAAACCAAACATGAAAATATATAATTAGTATTTAAGTCGGATTTAAAACGATATATTGTAATAAACAAACGTAACAAATACTAGTAAAACTCTACGCTAAAATTTCGTTACATTTTGTTAAAATTGTATTAAAAATTGCGATGAATAAATAAAAAGTAGGAACGGGCAATCTGAATGGCAATGGTTTTTGTATATAACTGAAGTACATGTACTTTAGAGTTATATTAGTTGCAATGGATGAACTTCATATTAGCTATTTCTCAATATTTTATACTTAATTACATGTACCTGATTTTCTAACTAGTACATTTCTATAGCATGACAAAATTATTTTTTAAGATGTTTTGATTTATTAATTGTACTGTTGTTGTTTTTTTAATTTAATCCTGTCACTGTCTGTTATTGAAAGAAACAATTCTTGTGATGACGAGCCAGGTGTTTTGGCGATATCTTTCTTCTACAAAAAACTAATTAATAAAAATTAACGCTGTATAAATCATATTATTGAAATGATGTAGAAATAAAAACCCATACAAACGATATTTTCATTAAAAAGTGGTTGAGTATTTATCAAGTAAGCTAAAATAAACATTATGAAAAATTAAAATTATGTTCAGGGTTAAAGATTTATTAAATATATAATTCATTTCTGTTAACTATTCGTTTTTCTGTTGTTGTTTTTTTTTTTTTTTTTTTTTTCGTTTTTTTTTTTTTTTTTTTTTTTCTTGATTTTGTTTTTGTCGAATTTCCGATGTTAAGTTATAAAGAAATAATTCTATTTAGGAAACAAAACTATTCTTTAAAAAAAATTTCAATCCATAACGAGTTGTACATGTATTTCTATTTTCAGATTTAGAAAATGGAGATAGTTCGAGAATTAACGTGTCTTATTTTAACTATTGCACCGGTCATCTGTACCAGCAGAGATTCCAATGCCTATTCAAATTTGAAATTAAACTTGCGCATGCGCACTGACAACTCCAGTGATGACATTCTCGGACAACAGAGTGAGTTTTATCTTAGAGATAAATATTTTGACATGTTAGCTAAGCTTACTAAGTCATATGGAAACTCAAACATGCCTTTAGAGTCAATGCAGCGGACTTTAAGGTCTTTTGATCCGGATTTTGACTTTCTCACATCAGCAAAACGCGAAAAAGAAGAATATGAAAATCTACAAAATTTGCAGTATTATGGTACCGAGATTCCAAAGAAATTTACCGTCAAACGACTTTTTTCTCCAAAGTCGTTTTCCTGGATTGAAGCAGACGACAGTTTCGGTGATACACCTGTCATGGAAAATGTCGATAGAGCACCGATTATGGGGAATTTGGTGAAACGAAGTGGCGTGAGTGAGCCGATCAAACAACATAGACCAAACAGCTACAGTACGGACGAACAGCCACAACTGTCAAACAATCCATTGTCATTTAACCCGCCAAAATTAACCAATGAACAAATCCAGTCTATGAATAGAAAGTTATATTTAGAAACAGCACGAAGACTGAACACATCAAAAGTACACGACAATGGCGAAAAATCGATGAACGCAAATGGTATCCCTATATCTAAGCGTCCTAGTCAATTCGAGCCTGACGTATGTAATATGGATGACGTCAATATAGACGTCAGATTTCATGAAATGATGGAGACAGAAGCTGGTCTGTTATCTTTGGTGTGCACCGGCTCAATCGTGGTCAATAAATGTGAGGGTGCCTGTAATTCATACGTGAAACCCAGCGTGAACAACTATGATGGATTTGAAAGGGTAAGTATACATTAAGAAATTAAAACTTAGTTTTTTAAAGTAAAACTTCCGAAACCGAACTTAAAATCTTGTTAGGGATACGGGTTCTTTTTAAAAGACAATTCAGCCAGTCATAGGAGTAGTTCTGTTAAACTTAAAATAATCTAGCTCGAGTGTCAACATTTTGAATGTTAAGGATTACAAACTAATGCATCGGTATATATCGTCTTATGTCGAATAACATCGTGGTAACCCCGAAGCCGATATCGCCTTGCTCTTAATCGACAATTTTCATATTTATATTTTTACTTTTTTTTTCATTTTGGCGGCATTACATGCGAAAATACTAACATGGCGACTTTCATACAAGTTTTCTTTGAAAATGGGGGTGTAAGACAGGTTTTTAGAACCGTGTAAACAGTAGATACTCCTGTCTGATATTCAAGTACATAAGCCTAAGGTATCATATGAAGCGTAAGTCCGATCTGTACCTTTAAACTTCTCTTTCTAATTACACATTGTATCATAGTTTGAAATCTTTCTTTTGAAAATGTGTCCGAGTTAAAGCGTATACATCTACATGCACAGTGCATTAACTCGAGTGCAGGTATTAGTTACCCGCACTCCAGAGCATGCCCATTGATTGGCTCATTTTTTCTGGGTTTACTTATTGTGACGGCAGAGATAGGCAAAGTGATAGAAATATCATATTCAGATGCTCGTTCATTTGTAACACTTTTCTGGGGTTTCATATTGTAACAACAGGGAATTGGTTTTTATGTTTTACTCTGATACAAAAGAGAAAGAACATCAAAACACCCGGCAATCTGATAAATACTCGGGGGCTACGCCCCCTCGTACAAATCAGATAGCCTCTTGTTTCGATGCTCTTTCTATTACTTATCTACATCACCTCTGAACTAGTGCATAACATATTTTGATGATGAGACAAAAAAAACAACAAAAAAACAACAAACATTGTTGATTGCAAGCTACCACAAGAAGTGGGCGACTGACATAATAGTCTTTCCACTCTATCGAGAGTTTAAAGTCGTCAAAATGATTACACCCTAGTATTTACAATTGCGAAATTAATTAAAAAGAGCCTCTAATATCTTCTTTAAGAGGTTGATTTTTATGTGCTTCTATTGGAAGGATAATTAACAAAATCTAGCCGCTAACAGACAATCAATTCCTATCCATTCCAGTAATTTCATGACAGACTGTTCATAGTATAAATTTCATTCTTACACTTGGAGCATGTTTAATAGCAAACATGGAGGCATTGTCCTGGGATTTAAAGTAAACAGCGTTAGGGCGGTAAATACATATTCCAATCCTGGCGGGACTTTTCGTAATTTAAGACTATCAATAAATGAAACAAAAAATAACATAATAAAGTGTGCCTCAAAGGAGCGTGCAATTGTTTATCTCCGTCACTGAGCCGGGATTGTCATGCGTTTACGATTTTGCATTTGGAGGAAGTAAATTATATTACATTCCCAAGATCATACCATTGATTTATATCGTTTCATAAAATAGATTGGTGACGTAGAATACATTTTTACCACAGTTCTAGGAATTATAGTCTAATACTTGAATTGTAATTACCCAGAGGGAAAAATCCATACACTTTATGTAATCATCAACATAGATTTAAAAAAAAATCAAGAAACATTTTTAGATTTTAGTGATTGAACGCTTACAATACTTGGAATGGATGAATAAAAATGGAAAAAAAATCCTTCAATGAATCAAATATATACATTTGAACTTTTTTCTAAAACTGTATTTCTTTTGGTTAGGACAAATTTGGATGAGACAAGTTCACTGTTTCTGAAATATTCCTTTAAAGATGAAACAATAAACATACACATAAGTTTGTAAATTTTAATATTTGTTGTGGTTTTTTATTCCAGAGATGCTTCTGTTGTAAAGATTCATCCATTCGATCAAGACGAGTGACCCTGTCTGTATGTACCCTGGGACCGGAGGAAGTGCATGGGTACTCTATATCCCGGACCATAGTTGAACCGACGGCGTGCTCGTGCCAGGAATGCCGGAATTAAGTACCGTCAATGACGGGCTTTATTCTAGTCTATGGTGTTTATACATTCCAGACCAAACAAATTCAAACGATCAAAGATAAAACATCAACATACGAATAATGAACTTGTCGCTTCAATTGAAGTTTGACAAATAGAAATGATAACCATGCAGTAGCCTTATCATGTACATAATTCATCGAATGTTTTGTTTTACATTTCTACAATACTATATCGACCTAAAGCAGGTTTTAGTTATACAAAATTGTACATATCTTTGTCAAACCGATGGCTAATGTCAATAAAGAATCTATTCTGCTCATAACTATGACTTATTAATTAACAATGTTGTTCATACCATTTTCCTAATACAGGTAACTTGGAATTTTTTTGGTTAATTGTTTGTGTATTTCTGAATGAAAGAACGGTTAAATGAATTATTTTTTAATAAAATGATATTAGTAAAGTGACTTTTCTCCACTGAAGAACATTTTATTTCTTGAGTTAAATAGTCACACAAGTATAACAAAGGTTGATTTTTATATCAACATGCTGAATACGCTCTGAAGTTTATGATTATTCTAATAAATGATTTTTGAAATTGGTGAGGAACGCTATTGAAATATTAAATTTCATATGCAATAATTTTCTGTTATAACGATATTGCTTAAAGCGATACACCACTTATAACGATACATCGCTTATAACAATGCGGTTGCCGAGGTCCAGGCTCTTGTTTTCAAATAAATTGCTTTACGGATAAAGCGATATCCGGATATCACAATATAAATTAGGCGAAAATTCGTATGAAAATGATTTTTGTTAGTAACCTTTTTTTTCAAAACTCATTTGCATTATCTAAATTGTAACACAGTCATAAGAATTTCTCCCTTATTAAATCGTATTGGTTAGAGACGTTATTGCGATTATTTATGTGCAAAATAATTCTTTTTCTTAATCAAATTTTATTGGATAGGAAACACTTGTTATATTATATCGGATAGAATGCAGAGAAGAAAATAGAGCAAAAAAATGTTTAAATACACTCACAACGCTTATTCAATAACGGTGACTCTTTTTTAAAAAAAATATTTAAAAAATGTGCTATATCAATGGACAAATTAAAACTATATTCTCATACTTTTTGCACTGTTAAATTGACATAAAAATAGGAATTCAGTAAAGTTAATGAATCAAAGTTAAAATTGTCTAGCCGATAGAATGTTTTCAGTGATAATGTTTCCTTAACTCGAACATTTAAAAACACATTTTCCGTTTCAGTTTTTATAACTTCTCTTTACAAATCAAAAACTGATTTTAAGGACTAATATTTTTGGATATTGTACATACAAATCAGTATAAGACGTATTTTCAGACAAAACCACCTACATGAATACTATCAAAGTTACAAGTTTTAGAAATAAAAGCGAAACCATCGGAATGTTTTGTCATTGCTTATCAGTCCAGATCAACCCTGAAAAAATGTTTGTAGTTTAGATGGAGTTATATAATTTGACTTTGTTGCATGATTCTTTGGATGCAATGAATTTACCAGCATCATTTGTCAATTGCAATGCCGACTACGATTCATTTCCGGGAAGGGAGGCTACCCAAAACTGCAACGAATAACTAAGAGGAAAGTTATGTCCCTTGGATAGCAATTGGTGTAATAATTATTGAAGACATTACTTACTTCATGTTGATAGACCAAATATTTCATACTTTATTTGAGAGCAGTTTTGAGTCTAGATTGAAATGCACTTGTTGCAACAAATATTGTTTCTTCTCCAAGTCGTTGCAACAAAATTATCAAACAATAGGAGGGGAATAAAACAACTCACATGTGATTAATGAATAATTTAATGACACTATATAATATTTACAGTGGTAAAACGTATAAATATGTTTTTGCTTTTATTCTCATGGGAGCTATAAATTAAAAAATTAAAGGGTATAAAGCTATGTATCTGCTGCAAGATAATATTTATTGAATGTAGAAAAAGAATACTTCCAAAATGCCTGTATGAAGCAAATGGCGCACGCAAGAAATCATTGCTAAGCGGCAAAACCACTACTTAAAATAACAACATAATATTTTGTTCCGGTACATTTTAAATGTTTATTAACAATATTCACGTATGTTATATAATAGATGAATTCTATATTACAACTATTTTAAGAATCGACAATAAGATTATGGAAAATATATAGTTTTACTATTTATTTAATAACTTCTATAATAATATTTCATCAGAAATATAGCCTAAAAAACATTTAAAAAGATGTTCTTTATTTGACTACTTTTATTAAAAAATTGTCTGAAATAGATTTTATATTAGTTTTTCAGAAAATAGTTTTAATTTTAGACATGAAAGTATCATAAAATATTGCATTTTATTGAATAACAAACAGTACATTCATGAACCATTTAATGTTATTTTAAACGGTGAATTCTTATAAAAAAATCATAAAGTTGTTATTAAAGGTGTATCATACGTCATAAAACTCGTTAAAATATAATTTTATTTTTATCATAAAAGTAGTTATAACAAAATACTAAATCACTATGTACAGTAATTGTACTGATTGCGAAAAAGGAACAAGGGTAAAAGACGGTTCAGGTAATTGGTCAATGAGTAACTTTTTGGAAACTATAACAGGCATCAAAAATAAAAATATTTGAGAAATTTGAATTAATATTTTAAGGCATTTCTGAGGCATTCTAATGGGCCTTTAATTAAAAAAGAACAACTAAATTTTCTGAACACTTTGGCGCCAGTGGAAATAATTCTGACGCCCAGTATAAGAGTTTAGTAACAGAAAAACTGAGTCCATACATATACAGATAGATGATAAATAACCATGCAAATTGCCACCGAAGTCATTTAAGATATTCTTTTACGTTAGCCACATCAAAAAGGACACTCCCCACTCCCACCCCCGGATCCCGGAGTGGTTTTTAGCCCCAGTTATTTAAAGATATGCTATGCTCATTTTTCAGTAAGATACTTTTATCGTAAAAAAATTATTGACATGTATGAAATTCCTACTAAATACATGTATATCTAATTTGAATGAAAAATGAATATACACTATGTATGAGGAGCTTCATTCCCGTAAAAATTGCCCTTCCCAGTTCTTTTAATGATACTATGTATTAATATTGTAGATTTTAAAACATAAGATATTTATTTCGTTTGAAGTCAAAACATGTTTATTTCATATTTAAAAAAAGACTGTGTAGCAAATTTTGAATATTTTTAAGTTTAAAATCTGAGCATAACATATCTTTAAAAAGCCATAAATACATCATATTACATAATAATAATAATAAATATGTTATAGAAAATACATCAAAATGGCATTATTACACAATTTCATGTATATGACCTTCTTAGTTATAGGTCAAAAAACATTGAAGACTGCCAGTCGACCGGACAGCATCCGTGGCGTCAAATAAACGTATTGTCTCGTATGTGATGCTCAACTGAAAGACAAGGAATAATATATTTTATGAGTCCATTTTTCAGATCATCGAATTAATAATATGTTATCAGTTATATTTAGTAATTCAATTTTCTCTTTGGAACAAGTCATATTTTATCCAAAGAAAAATATGGATACAATATTTATCTTTTCTGTTCCAGCGACAGCAAAACAGCATGCGTTCAGCAGAGTAAATGCATGGATAACTTTTGTTTACCTATCATTGGCTTACCAATGGTACCAATGTTTTACGAACAAATTTTGTCATTGGTAGATTGACTTGCCGTAGGGTTCTGCAATGTTAGTATTGACAAGTCTTACTTATGACAACATTCAAAATTTTCATTGTTGTAAACAAGATCATATTACACTGCAATAGTATTGCACATTACAAAATGTAATAATAAACAGATTTTAAAATAAACCAATTTATTTTTGGATGAAATTTATTAATGACAATTTAATTATACAATAAGAACCAAATTTATGATCAAGATCAGTCAGCTGGGAAGCCATTGGTTCATTTTTGTTAAAACCAACTATGTTAAAGCCAATCAGGGTGGATTGTCTTGATACCACAAGAAATACTCTAAACTCGCCCGTTATAGAATATACAATGTAGGATAAGTTATTATGTAACTTTTTGTCAAAATTATAAACTGTATTCATGTTATTTATCACTTCCCATGAAGCGTATTACAGCCATATATATTTGAGCCGCGTCACGACAAAACAAACATAATGGGTTTGCGACCAGCATGGATCCAGACCAGCCTGCGCATCAGCGCAGTCTGATCAGGATCCATGCTGTTCGCTATCAGTTTCTCTACTTGTTATAGGGTTTGTAAGCGAACAGCATGGATCCTGATCAGACTGCGCGGATGCGCAGGCTGGTCTGGATCTATGCTGGTCGCAAACCTATTATGTTGGTTTTGTCGTGACGCGGCTCATTTCATATAAACCACCGTCACACATACTTATACAATTCCAGCATTATCAGGTTTTGTCAAGACATGTTTTCTTCTAAAATGCGCATATACTATTAGTTAATTATATATATTAATGCTATGACGTTGTTACTTGTATTTGGACGTACTTAGGTCCATTTATAACATACATAAATAACAGACCTAGCAAAATAAATTACATCTGTGCGATAAGTAATTTACGCAACGTACTTCTAGTCTCTCTAATTTATATGGCAATTTCCTTTCTTATTTTTTAAAAGAAATATGAATTTTTATTTCCCCCCGCATCCCTGCAACACAAATGGTGATAAAACAGAAAAAGAAAATTTTGTTTTTTTGCAGCTATATAAAAAAGTTTTGTCTTGCTAATTTTACAAAACCCAATAAATATTCAGATCAAAAACCTATTTACGAAACACAATTAAAAAAGGCAACCAAAACGTTAAAATTTTTTCCATTTTGTAACATGTTCTGATTTTTATTCTCCCCAAAAAGTCTTTTAACGTAAAGATAAACTTTTTTCAAACGTGTCAAATTGAATGTAATGTCTTGAAGGTAAACATGTATTTTAAACAACACTTTATGGTTGACAACATTCATACGTATTTGTTTAAAGAATATATCAATAACCGCCAAAACGTTGCATTTATCTTTAGTAAACAAACAAAAGACTGCATGAATCCGGTCTACTCTGTATGACGTTTACTATGGATGTGATTAGATGACAAAAAAAATGTTGTTGATCTTATTCTAGTTACAGACGCTGGTAAAATCTTTTCAAGGACACGAAAATGGCGTTATGTGCCGAAGTTGGACGATCTCAAAATGGATATGTTTCTAAATAAAATACGTACCGAAAATAGATAAAATGTATAACATGACACGTTTTTACAAAGTGAGAGAACAGTCACAAGTTGTCGGGTTATAGGCTGAGCCCGGGCCACATGGTCTCTGTACCCAGACGCCAAATACATTCTCCTCGTACCATCCTTGACCTATAGCTGAAGGTCGCAAGTTGCACTCTGAAAAGAATTAAAAGAAAAAACGTTTTACAACCACCAACAAATATCCATATCCAATTACATGGCTTGAAATTAAACTTTGCTTTTCAAACATGTTTAAAACATTTCTTTTTTTTTGGCTCGATTATGATGAATCCTTGGGGATACTTTAAACCACTCTCCAGTCCAAAGACAGAACCGCACGATTCCTGGCTAGTAACCACTACGCCACCTCTACGCAAATCTGTGCGAGAATAAAGAATTCAAATTTATTACGTTACCTTTGCTGTCTAGTGGTCTGTTTACACAGGAGCACACTGATCTCAGGAAGTATGTGCCCGGTGGACAGGTTCTTGGCTCAGGGTCACCGAGCGGGCTTCTCATGATGAACATAGACTCTGTATCAGGGTGAATTTCAAGAGGACAGTCTGGAACTAGAATATGCAACATACGTTACATAGCTTGCAAATTACGTTTCACATTTTAAACTATGACAGCATTACTAATCTCTAAATAATCAACAAATCCGATACAGATATATGTCACAACATGTAAATTTACGTTACAAATATTGTCTAAGAACATTAATAATTCTTAGTTGTTATTCGTATTTTGAATATTTTTTAATATAATCAATACAAAAAACAACTTGTTAGTAAAATAGTAATTATTCATGATTCAATGTTTAAATGAAAAATGTAAATCTATTTTAGAACTTAGTTGTTATCGAGTAGAATTTATACTACGAAATTTACCCTCTGTTGGTTGGTTGAACAAATTTTGAAGAGCGGCTCCGTTACCATTCATAACTCCAGTATTAGCTAGGCGAAGTGCGTTGGCTAAAGCTTCGTTACCATTGCCCCCACCGTTACTCACTATGCCAATATTTCTTCTAGAAGCCATGTCTCCAGTCAGGCCACCGTTACCGTTGGAACCTCCGTTTCTTGTAACACCAACGCTACCACCGAAACCTCCGTTATTAGCCATGTTAGCCAATGCATCAAACATTGTAGGCTTTCTCTCGTAAGCAAACGTCCGTCTTTGTGCCGCTGTGCCAAACAACAAACATGACACAACCGCACAAGTGATCAATAATTGCGCTTGCATTTTTGTTCTATTTTACAAACTGAAACAGACAAAAAAAGATAACATGCCGTCTACTAATTATGATATGTGCAGTAAGAAATATATAAGTATACACTGAAGCAGACTTACACAACGTTTTGTAGCACTTCTGTTCTAATAAATAGATAAAATTAATTGTCTATGCCTAGCAGCAAAATAGTCGCCATTTAAAAGGAACCTTTTTAAAAATATTCTATTAAGTTGTTTGATATATTGATCAATGTAATTCCAGTTACAATTCAATGCGATGCTAGTTACTGATAAATAAATAAATGTGATCCTAGTTATTGTCAGATTAATCAATGTGATCCTAGTTATTGTCAGATAAATCAATGGGATCCTAGTTATTGTCAGATAAATCAGTGTTATCCTGGTTATTGTTAAATAAATAATTGTAGTCCTTGTTTAAGTTAAATAAATCAATGTGGCCCGATTTACTGTCAGATAAATCATTGATAATTTGATATTAGTTATCGTCAGAAAAAAATCAAAGTGATCCTTGTTATTGCCAGGTAAATCAATTTGATTCTTGTTTTTGCCAGATACATTAATTCCTAGTTAATGTCAGATAAATCAATGTGATCCTATTCATTGGCAATTTGATCGTATATAGTTATTGTCAGATATATCTATGTGATGCTAATTATTGTTTAATAAATCTATGTGATCATAGTTTTGTTAAGTAACTCAATGTGTTTCTAGTTATTGTCAATTCACTGGATTGTTTGATAGTTATCTTGGTTAAAAATGATTGAAATTTCGATGCATACATAACCACGTCGTTAAATGCAAGTAGTTTTCTTCAGAACTGACATTCTCTTAAAATTACGAAAGACCGGTAGGGCCTTCATGAATTCACAATTTAAACTTCGCGCATTCCCGTTTTCAAAATACGGAATTCACGAATTCACGATTCAGCTTCATGAATTCACGACTTCAACTTCACGAATTCACGATTTTTCAACTTCACGAAGTTGAAATCGTGAAGTTGAAATCGTGAATTCATGAAGTTGAATTCGTGAAGTTGAAATCGTGAATTCATGAAGTTGAAATGTCCCCACCGGTCTTTCGTATAAAACAGTGTTTTTTTTTCTGTTCTGTTCTATTCTTGAAATAAAATGTACCTTGGTAACCCGTGTCAGCTATTATAAAACCGTTCATATATGCCATATAATGTTTTGTTAACCCGTGTCAGCTATTATAAACCGTTTCATATATGCCATATAATGTTTTGTTAAACCGCAGCTTATTATTATCGTGTCAGCTAATTATAAAACCGTTCATATAATGCATATAATGTTTTTGTTAACCCGTGTCAGCTATTATAAACCGTTCATATAAATGCCATATAATGTTTTGTTAACCCGTGTCAGCTATTATAAACCGTTCATATATGCCATATAATGTTTTGTTAACCCGTGTCAGCTATTATAAACCGTTCATATATGCCATATAATGTTTTGTTAACCCGTGTCAGCTATTATAAACCGTTCATATATGCCATATAATGTTTTGTTAACCCGTGTCAGCTATTATAAACCGTTCATGAATGCCATATAATGTTTTGTTAACCCGTGTCAGCTATTATAAACCGTTCATGAATGCCATATAATGTTTTGTTAACCCGTGTCAGCTAATTATAAACCGTTCATATATGCCATATAATGCTTTTGTTTAACCCGTGTCAGCTATTTATAAACCCGTTCATATATGCCATATATAATGTTTGTTAACCCGTGTCAGCTATTATAAACCGTTCATATATGCCATATAATGTTTTGTTAACACCGTGTCAGCTATTATAAACCGTTTCATATATGCCAAAATATAATGTTTTTGTTTAACCCCGTGTCAAAGCTATTATAAACCGTTCATATATGCCATATAATGTTTTGTTAACCCGTGTCAGCTATTATAACCGTTTCATATAATGCCATATAATGTTTTTGTTAACCCGTGTCAGCTATTATAAACCGTTCATATATGCCATATATAATGTTTTGTTGTTAACCCGTGTCAGCTATTATAAACCGTTCATATATGCCATATAATGTTTTGTTAACCCGTGTCAGCTATTATAAACTGTTCATATATGCCATATAATGTTTTGAATGTCATGTCTAAAACTTCGAATGTTTTCTTTCAAATTTATCCAGTTTGAAGTTATCAAATTAAAGATATTCAAATTTTAGCTTACCGACATATAACCAAAATTATTTTTGATAATAATAATAATAATAATAATAATAATAATAATAATAATAATAATAATAATAATAATAATAATTAATAATTAATAATAATTAATAATAATTAATAATTATAATTTATCTTCTCGGAACATTTCTTAGAGATAATTTCACATAGTATGATATTTACCTGCTGTCCTATTAATATTTATAACATTTATAGAAAATATTTACAATAAAATTTATTTATTCACTCACAAAATCCCGTAAAATATGTGAGAAATAAACACAATTTTGCTTCTTTTATACCGAAATAAAAACTCTTAAATAAAAACGGAACATTACGTAACTACCGGTACGATAGAGAAGTAGAATATGTTCCGACGTGGCATATTTCATAACATTTAAGTGACAACGTTTCAATGTTTTGTCTCAAGGAAAAAATATATGAGCCGTGTCACGACAAAACCAACATAGTGCGTTTGCGACCAGCATGGATCCAGACCAGCCTGCGCATCCGCGCAGTCTGATCAGGATCCATGCTGTTCGCTATCAGTTTCTCTACTTGTAATAGGGTTTGTAAGCGAACAGCATGGATCCTGATCAGACTGCGCGGATGCGCAGGCTGGTCGCAAACGCATTACGTTGGTTTTGTCGTGACGCGGCTCAAATATATTAATGCGTACGTCTAAATCTCCAAGTGAGTTAATTAGTCGTGAAAAAAATGCATGATCTGAAGGTATGTAAAAGGTTGAACATTAAAAGGTCTTGTTTAATTATAAAAAGTACATTTAAAAGAAAAAAATAGAATAAAATAATACATGCACTCAAGGGGTGTTAACATATACGTTTCAATAAGATAAGAACAATAATATGACACTGTTCTATTTGAGTATTTCTATATTTAAGACAAAAGAGTAACTATGGCATTGATTATACACCATAAATGATGTTGGCACAATGGTCTCATTTTCAAGATTATTGTTGTCCCATACGCTTAAAGATTTGATAAAAAATACGCTTAAAATGTGATAACAATACGCTTAATTATGTAATAAAAATACGCATAAAATGTGTTCGAAATACGCTTAAAGATGTGATAGAATACGCTTAAAAGTTTGGTAAAAATACGCTTAAAGAAGTGATAGAAATGCGCTTTAAGATATGATAAAATACCCTTAAAGATTTTATCAAACGTGATAAAAGCAAGTCACAAAAGGAAATATATGTGCTATTAATGTAGCGTTATTATAAGTTACAAAAAAACGTACTTAAAAGGATCTTGAAAACGTTATACGGGAAAAGAATTATAAATTATAAAAATGTTAGCGACAGATAAATAGAGATTTACGCTTAAAATTACAAATAATAATAATCAAAGTGTAAGCCGCCAGAGATAGAAAAGTTACTGATGGAGGAAGACCTCAGGTTCATTATTTCAGGCACGAGCTGGCACCTGAGTAGAACCACCTACATTCCATAAGCTAGGTGGATAGTTCTCACATTAGAGAATTCAAATTCACAGATTGGATTCGAACCCATGTCGGATAGGGCGTTATAAAAATAGATAAAATAGATACACAATAAACAGATACAATAAATACTTTAGCTGCTCTCTTTTTAAGGTTTCTTATAATGTGTGCGAAGTAGCAATAAAAAGACGCCCTTGTCGCCCTCAATTAGTCAGGTAAGAAAACTGACAGCATACAAAAATATTGACACAAAATAAACGTTTTGACAGGTACAGTGTTATTATCTCATCCAGATTGTGAGACAACTAACAAACTAATCTTATTTATAATATATGTTTTTCCTTGAGTGACAACTGCGTTTAGTACATGCACATTTTTTATGTTAATTTATAATTAATGCACTGTACGATGATTTTTGTTAAAACCGAGCAATCCGCCGAAATACGATTCTAGTGTCCAAATCCAAATTTTTGCAGTGTCAAGAAAAATGGCACTCCAGTCCAGTTCTAAACATTTTAACATAAACTCAAAGACCACCTCCCCCTCTCTCTCTCTCTCTCTCTCTCTCTCTCTCTCTATATATATATATATATATAAAATTTTATATTAAAATCCTTTTCTTTTAATTTAGCCACTATTTTCATTCAAAATACAAACATAAATATAACTGTTTACTATTAATTGTAAATTCGAATATAGAAATTAAGTAGCAAACCTAATACAAGTTTTAATTTTTTGATATCAAAGTTATACCATCAGCGATATAACTCATTTAAATTCCTATATCAAATTTATCTTGTCTTGAAAATAACGATATAGGAAAGAAGATATCTGTCCCCTTTGAACATATATTTCAACAATCAATTTTTATTTAATTATCGCAATTGATGATTTTAAATGTTATTTACATTGATTATAATGTGTCTTTAACAAGTTCATGCCCATTTGATCTTCCTTTGAAAAACAATACAATTAATTTCTTATTACCTCTTAACATGTATCACGTATTCGTAAGAAATAATAGATAATAAAATAGATATAACGATAAGACATATATTTTGGCATAGAAGAAAAAAAAATCAAAAGCACATCACCCATTCGGAAAATGATTAGAAGTTATCAGGTTCTTTTTATAACTATTTTTTGCTTTTTTTTTGTTTTTGATTTCTCTTAAACTACAGATTTCTCCAATCGATGGATCGATTTATTAGTTGATAATGACACTACTGCTTGCCGCGCATGAATATATCAATAAAACACGGTCATCCCACAGACGACGGCAAGGCTGAGCGCTTTAATACGAGTGTGGCTGACGTTGATTACCTATTTTCCATATGTTTCTCACGATATCATATAGTTTTACCTGAATCATGTTTTGTGATCATTGAGTCTTCTTAATCACCATTTATAAATGGTTAGTAAAGTTGTTGCTCACCATATACATATAAAACATTCCATTTATAGCATTTTCTATAACAATGTTTGTAATTTATGCATAAAGGTATCATCACCGCTTTCTTCATGGTCATCGTCTTCCGCAGCATCGTCCCCAGTTTTATCGTCGTCGTCATCATCTAAATGGTCATCAAAGTTATGTCGTCATCGTCAATGTTTTTCATCGTCATCATCATCATCATCATCAATTTTATCAATATGAAGTCATCGCCAACGTCATTCGTTGTCATCTTCATAATCACAATCAATATGGCGTATTCGCCATCTTTGTCATCTCTCTCGTCGTTGTCGTCATTATCAATGATATAATAAAGATCTTTGCTAAGGTATTGCAATTGGTTTTACACAATACAGCATTTAAAGTCTCATTATGCCTTAGAGATGCTATCAATTTATTTCTAAAACCTTTTTATTTCAGATATTTTGTTACCGTTTATAAAAAATATAGCCATTTATCACATTAGAATTTTGTATGGAAGTCAAAATACTACTTTGTTTACCTTTTGTTACATTTACGACACATTACTGCATGTTCAGTGCTACTTTCTTCAGGTTTTTTTGTAACGTGCTCTAAACTCATTATTAAGACATAATTAAACACATGTTTGACATTTCTAAAGAATTAAAAAAAGTATGGGATTTCTTAAGCATAATGTGCCTTTAAATGGGAAAATAACATGGAAAAAAAAACTTAAGATTCTAAGTACATATCGTTTACTTTAAGGGTCCACCCATAGCCATATAATTAAACTTTGGACACCTTTTTGCATTCAAACACTAGGCTTATTCATCTCAAGTGAAGTTTTATATATACAAAACAGTTTTATCAAAGTTTTAATTGTATGTCCGAAATTTAGAAATATGATGTAACAAGTAAATTAACATTTTGTTTTAGAGTATTTTCATTATTTCTTTTTATCTAACTGAATAACCTTATGTAAGAACACTTATGTGAATTGTAAATTGCAGTTTGAAAAGGTTAGTACTTTTGAAATAACAAAAGGTGTTCATAAAAATACGACATTCGATATTTACTGATATTAAAATTTATTACTTGTTTACGCAAGATTTGTTTATCAAGGCGGGTTTTTATGTTTTTATCTTATAAATATATGATATTAATACGTGAAATATTGGAAAAAATCTGTTCTTTACATATTTATTTAGGGTAACGTTAAAGGCAGGAAATGTTATCAAATAAGAAAACTGTGACGGAACCAAAAATGTTATTTGTTATTGTTTTTTTTAAACATGAGAACTTTAAAGGCTTAAACAACATAAAGATGCGTAGATCAACTGGGATAGTTAAAAATGTATACAAATGATAGTAAATAGATATACATATTATCAAAATGAAAATCAAATTGTGTGCGACTCTAATCTAGATTTCAGTTAAAATCGTTTTAACGCATTTTATTTGTTCGAGTCACTTTGCGCGAAACGATCATTCTGGTAACACGGAGCGAGCCAATAATCAGACAATTTACATACAAGTTATATGTTTAGGCGTCGAGGTTATATTTTTTTCTGAGTTCTGTCTCGAATTTCAAGAGTTTCATTTGTAAATATACACTCTGTGCTGGATTGTTGACTAATTGAATAAATAGATTTAAGTTTGAGCTTTGGTCAATTCTTTATTACCTTGGACACAGATCTTCTTCAGATAGTATACAAACTATGGGGAAAATTTTATCCTGTCATGTCGAAAAATTGTGGTATCCCCTTAATTTACTTTTAACATCACAATCATAGAAGCTGGTAATTGATCGAATTGAATTTTGTAAACATTGTACGAAAAATTATAAGCATATTTGGGACACTTGTTTAAATTCTATATAGCGACGCATACACCAATAAAATGATAGAACAATCACTTCTGCATGGAAAAAAATTGATAACATTTAATTTGTTTGTTGAAATGCTGGCTATATTTTGAAACAATTATTTTGCATTCATTCGAATATTGAATATATCTTATCGATGAGAATGAAATCTCAAATATTCCAAAGAGTATAAATTATTGTGTGAGTGGCATAAAAACGATACTCATTACTAAGTAGGTTATAATTCATTTTTATCAGAAAATTAGAAAATTTTCGGCCCGCTTCCTGAAACTGACCAATATTGGTGTCATATGAGGAAACATGGTCGTTCTCAGAATAGGGTTCGAACCCGTGACCGGACCCTTAAACAGTAAGTGACTATCATCATTATTTGCCATATTTCAAGTATGGAGTTAATGAAAATAAACCATAAATGCATCATAAATATGTAGATTTGATCAAACCAAAAGAATTTCCTCAATAAAAGATAATTGGATTTTTGAAGATCAGTTAATCAATTTCAGGATTTGTACTACTATTATAAAGAAAAATTATAAACAAAGTTAAGCAAAATTCGTTCATAAAGTAAAAAATAAACGAAAAAAGGTTTAGGCATCATAATTACATTTTCTGACAATTTTCATAAAAAGTATTGTGTATATTATTTGGCATTTTTGTCATACAATTAAATCTTTAGAGTATATAATTCAGTTTTTTTAATACTTATATTAAAATCATTATTTCCAATCTGGTCATTTTATTTTATATTCTGCTTTAAACAATAAAAATATAAAGAAATAAATTAAACCTACGTGTTTTGTCATACAATCCAGACAACGTGTATGCTGAACAGTTCAAATATATAATAAAGTCAAAAATATTTTTTCGTGACCGTTCGCGTATCCTCTGAGCGTCTGTGAGGGATGAAGAAACGTCAAAAATGACCATAATTACGTCGTGGTCAAAGCATGTGCTCATAAAAATCACCAATTGGTCATTACGTTTGGTGCGTCTAGCAAATAACGCATTAATTAACAGGTGTGAATCAATCGATACTTGTCATCGGTAAATGAGAAATCAAAGTACATGTAATTTATACATGAAATAAAACTATATCATATATTTATACATACATATTTAACATAAAATGTTGAAAAATGACCACAAACTATCTTATTAGCGCAATTATTAATAATGTTGTACTTATTTACTTCTGTTTTTACTCATGTTATTACCGTGCACATGTAGTTTTGCAATGATACAACAATGGCATATCAAGCGTAATTAATATAAAATTATGTGAAAACATGTATGGTATAGACATTTAGATAAAGCAGAATCCCCAAAGAACGACCAAAACGACAAAATTGAAAATGCTGCAGGCTCGGTTTGATTGAGGCTGTTCAAAGACTGTTTTAGATAATTTGAATCATAGGATAACACGCAAACTTGTAACGCGATATTTCATTGGCTAATTGTTTGCGCGCTAAAAGAACGCAGGCAGCTACCATCAGAAAAAGAAAATAATTCTACGATAAAAAAGTGACATTAATAATATTGATAAAAAATGCTAAAAGGCTATTGAATATTACAGCCTCCTTACAATGACAAAGATTGTCTAGATTTTCTGTATCTGTGTATATACATGTAATACAAACTTTCTTAAATCATATGAATCAGTGGCGATATGATGGTATACAATTACCTTACATCAGTGATGCATCGTCAACATTATATAGATGGACGTGGGTGTTGGCTTATATCATTGAAAATATACACAGTGTATGGTAATGAAGAAAATAAAGAAAACCAAAATTGCAATTATCGGAGGCTTGTTGCAGGTCTTTCTAAATTTAGAATTAAACACCATTTATATAATATGTTGAGTTCTGACTGTGCTAGGAAGGTTGGGGTGGTTGGGGAGGCTGGTAGCCACTACCGTCCATGAGCAGGCTCAATTAAACAGGGCCTGTCACATTTACAATTCCGTTTCGTCTATTCATTTTAAGTCTGTTTATCAACAGCAGTGGTAGACTCTAAATGTGAAATGTGTGTACATGTGAAATTTGTGTAAATAGGAGAATAACATGCTACTGTCTTTTGATATCAATTTTATCAGGCGAGGCTGATATGGGCTAGAAAGGGCGAGGCTTGCCGAGCCCTTTCTGCCCATATCAGCCGAGCCTGATAAAATTGATATCAAAAGACAGTAGCATGTTTTTCTATTTATCATGTAACACATAATAACTGTCAAAATAACAAAATAATCTTCTTTTAAATAGCGAATTTCGTTAAAATGGGGGATTTTTGTTCAAAGAAATAATTCTTGAAAACAAATCCCTCCGCCCCTGAAACTTAGAATTTGGCGGCCATTTTTTCTTTCGACTCGGATAAAAGATACAACAGAATGTAGGCCTAGCTAATACGATAACATTCTTACCTTTAATTTAAACATCGATCCAAAAATCCGCCTCTAGAATCACATAAACTTTACTCCAATTTTTGTCTTGAATTGTCAAATTCCAAAGTTCACGATAATGTCAATCAAAGAAAAGTCAAATCGGCAATCAAACACAAGCTACACAAACATGGGTCTTATTTTTTAAACGAAACAATTTGTTCACTTATTAAATAATAATCCGGCGAAATAAAGTAAACATTTACAAGTTCTCAAAGAAAATCGTCTAGTATGTTTGTTATGATTACATGTATAGTAGGCCTACGACGTGAACATCTATGATGTCATTTGCAATATAAATTATGACGTCACTTCATTTAGTTGGTGCTCAATTTATTCGTAATTGAAATCGAAATAATAGATAAGAAAATTTCGCATATTGATTCAAGACTTTTAAGGGTATGAGATTACATTGTAGAATTCACATGCTGATGAAAATGAGAATATATTAAGCAATTGAAAAAGTCCGTTAAAATGGGCGGGGCTAATTTTTGATATCAGGTTACTGACCTGATATCAAAAATAATTATCAGGCAAGTGTTATCGGGCAGTTACCATAGCAGTTGCATGATAAATGTGAAATTTGTGTAGCATGATCAATTCTTATGACATGACGCGTTAATGTATCGATACTCTATATCTCTGGTTCTTGTGATTGGCCTTCGTTATCTAATGGTAAAAGTCCCGGTAGGTTAGTGCTTCGAGCCAGGTGATTACTTGTGTCTGAGATTTTGAACAAATGTGCACCGGAGTTCTTCTGAAAAGCTGCCACAAAACCCATCAAAAAGACTTTAATAAACTGGTTACTGTAGACGTTTTACGTGATATCTATTTAGATTAAGGAAAATTGGACTGGACCTATGTCTGTATTTTATAATACACAGCTAACTCTTAGAGTATGAACATCCTGGACAGTTCGAGCAATGCTAATCACACAATGTAGTTGTTGAACAATGCCCCGAACAAATAGTTTGTGTTACTATAAACGCTGTTTCAAATTGACAAATAGAGCCATAACTACACGAAAATAAGCAAACAAGGCCATATTTGGTGATATGCACATCTCAACTTCAAGGTCAAGCATCCAAGCCATTGGCGGCGAGGAGAGAACCAATGATTGTCGCCTGATCCAACCACAATAACATTATTGCAAGGCAGCTTTGGAGCAGCTGGGTTATGGATGTCAGCAGTTAGTGCCAACTGATACCCAGCCCCCCTCCCTTATCCCCACCCCGACCCCACTCACAACGCACATCACATCATTCGAGCTTATATTATTTTGAAATAAGATATTGTGGGATTAATAAAAGCGGCTTATGGTGTTAAAAGATAAAAAAAATTAAAAGGATAAGTGGTAATGAATTCTTCTAGTCACAGACACCAGTTATTTGTCAAAGGACATTTAACAAAGCAGGCAAACATGTTCTAAATTAATGGGGAGTAGAAAAAACAGACTAGAAAACCGTAATTTCCCCTTTTGTAAATTACCTTCGAAATTAAAATTGTATAATTGTAAGCACAACTTTTATTTATCGTAATAAACGCACAAAAATATGACTCTGAACTACGGAAGCGTCCTAGTGCCAATTTAACATGTTCTATAAAAAAAGATTGTATCATAGTTTGGGGACCTTTCTGTTGAAAATGTGCCAGAGTTAAATCGTATACATATACATGCACAGTGCGTTAACTGGAGTGCAGGTATTAGTTACCCGCACTCCTGAGCACGCCTATTGATTGGTTCATTTTTGCTGGGGTTTACTTATTGTGACGGCAGAGAAAGGAAACGCGACAGAAATATGATATTCAGATGCTCGTTCATTGGTTACTTTTATCTGGGGTTTCATATTGTGACAACAGGGAACGTGTTTTTATGTTTAACACCAAAACACTCGGCAATCTGATTAATACTCGGGGGCTACGCCCCCTCGTACAAATCAGATAGCCTCGTGTTTCGGTGCTCTTTCTATTACTTACTCCTACGTAGGAGATAAAAATGCCTAATAAGGAGTATATAACTCTAAAGTGAAACTTATAAACTCCTAGGTAGGAGATAAACTCCTAATTAGTTTTTTTTATCTCCAACGTAGGAGTTATAACTCCTAATTAGGCTTTTTTCCTACGTTGGAGTTATTTTTTTATAGAACATTATGAAGTGGCACCAGGAGGCTTCCGTACTGAGCTGTACGAAAATAAAATATCGCATCTGAATTTAAAGGGCGCCACACATCATAAAAGCAACACTGCTACGACAATAAAATAATGAACAGGAAACCAATAAAGTTCGTTGAACTAAGCAAAACTAGACCACTGTCGTCTAGAAAAACACTTTAAAAATCATAGTATATTTAAATGTTTTTGGCGACATGTAAATGGTTGGAATTGCTAATTACTCAGTACTCATTTCGTTGCGTTAGGTTCGAATGAACATTACAAATAAGGGACAGATTTTAATTATAATAGATATTTGAGTCTCTAGATACGTATATTTGTGGTACTTTAATTTTAAGAGGCTAGAATTGTGTTTAAGTTATTTTATACCATAATAATTTTGAGATGCGAACATATGAATAATGAGTCAGCTATTTATCCTCTCAATGCGTACCCGATGGACAACGTGATCACAAAACATTATAAGTGATATACATAGTAAATAAACAACAAAAACAAACAGTTATAACATAAAGGTTTAATTTGTTGTAAGCTACTTAAATTGGAAATAGATGAGTGTACTTGCGAATTAATCAACAAAAAATATACCGTCATAATTATTATGTCATATGAAATCCATTACTTTTTGTCATTTGATGACGTATAAACGTGCATTCTTACACAATATTTATGAACCAGACATCTCATACATAACTAAATCTCTAAAATTTACATTTTTTACATGTTCCAAGCGCTAAATGATTTTACCACGCTATGAAGAAATTCACGTGCTGAATAAGGAGCGAAACGCGTCTCCGTATGTTGAGGGAAAATAATATTCTTCAAATGCATCGTTTCAACAATCTAAAGGGTATACAGACGTACTGAGATAGCGAAAAATAAGATGCAATTCACTCTCTTTGTAATTTCAGCTTGACTGATATACTGCAGTATATATATTTTTTGAATATTTTTAAATTTTCAAATAGGTAATACATGTATATTTAATTATTTATTCATTTTTTGTCATTACTTTTCTAGACAAAACAATGGAAAACAAGACTTCTTATCAAGGAAACTAGAATCTGGACTTGTATAAATTTTGTATATGAAACATTCTATTTCGTTAATGCAATTTATAAGAAGGGAGGCAACCCCGGTATGTTATAGTGTTCATATTTATACTAGTTTTCTCCCTTTACAATGAAGAGTTTGTTTTGTGAAAAAAACTTGTAAACCCTCTCTTTCTGTCCACGAATATTTTCTTTTTGCTTATATTGTTCTTACCTATTTCTAATTTCAGCTC